AGGGAAACCAATTTGGATCTCAGCTGATTTCTCAACCCAGACCCTCAAAGCTAGGAGGTCCTGGAATAATATATAACAAGCTCTGAAAAAAATGTATGCCAACCAAGAATCCTGTAGCCAGCAAAATTAAGCTTCACATTTGATAATGAAATAAGAGCCTTCTATGACAAACAAAAGTTAAAAGAATTTGAAACTAGGAAGTCTGTACTACAGAACATTCTCAACAAAATATTTCATGGAAATTAAATGAAAAAAAAAAGTGAAAATCAGCAAAGGGAGGAACTATACTAAAGGAATAGTCAATCAAAGAAGAAACTAATCAAAAACAAACCCCCCAAACCAGGAATAGCTCAATTAAAACCTTGAACATTAATGGCCTCAACTCATTGATCAAAAGACATAGACTGAAAGATTGGATTAAAAAACAAGACCCAACAATACACTGTCTCCAAGAGACTTACCTCATAGGCAAAGACATTCACAGACTGAAGGTGAAAGTGTGGGAAAAGACATATCATTTACGTGGATCATGTAAACAAGCAGGGGTTTCTATCCTCATATCAAATAAAGTGAACTTTAATCCAAAGTTAATCAGAAGGGACAAAGAAGCCCATTCTGTACTGCTTAAGGGGAATTACACATCAACAAGACATAACAGTTGTAAATACTTATGCCTCAAATAATGGTGCATCTATATACATCAGACAAACCCTTTTCAATTTCAAGAATCAAATATACCACAACACATACTGGGTAACTACTGGATAACTTTAACATGCCTCTGTCACCGTTGGATAGATCTTCTAAACAAAAACTAAATAAAGAAGCTATAGAAGTAAAACATATAATTGAGAATTTAGACTTAACAGACATATATAGAATATTTCATTCATTAATGACTGAATATACTTTCTTCTCAGTAACATATGAATCCTTCTCTAATACAGACCATGTTATGTATGATATCACATAGGTTGGCACACAATTTTAATGTTACTTTAATATATTTTTAACTACTATAGGGTTATTTTGATAACTCCTTTTCCATTGAAATTGATTTTTATGTTCTTTATTTTTTCTTGATTAGACTTATTTGATTTTTATCAAATTTTAGTTATATTATTTCTTCGATATTTCATATATTTTTGCTTTTATTCTTATTTTTTCTTTCCTACTACACAACTTGAAAATAATTTGATTGTAAATTTAGCTTTCTGATACAAGTACTTTAAGTTATAAATGTTCATCTGAGTACTGTTTCATTCCACAGGTCCTGATATTTTAA